ATTCGGCGTCCTGTAGGCTTCTAGGATTTGGGATTCTGTCTCATTCTTCAAGTCTGGGAAGTTTTCTTGTATTATTTCATTGAATAGACTGCTCATTCCTTTGGTTTGGAGCTCTGTACCTTCCTGTATCCCAATGACTCTTAAGTTTGGTCTCTTAATGTTATCCCATATTTCTTGGATGTTCTGCTCATGGTTTCTTAACAGTCTTGCTGAGCTGTCTATGTTCTTTTCCAGTTGAAATACTTTGTCTTCATTGTCTGATGTTCTATCTTCTAAGTGTTCTACTCTGTTGGTAGTATTCTCCATTGAGTTTTTAAGTTGGTTTATTGCTTCCTGCATTTCTAGGATTTCTGATTGCTTGTTTTTTATAACCTCTATCTCCCTGTATAGTTGATCCTTTGCTTCCTGGATTTGTTTGCGTAATTCGTTGTCTAAGTGATCTTTCATTGTCTGATTTTGCTGTTTAATGTCTTCCTTGATACTCCAGATCATCTGAAGCATGTATATCCTGAATTCTTTATCTGACATTCCATCTGCTGCAGCTGTTACCTCTTCTAAAGTTGCGTTGACCTGCATTGCTTGTGGTCCTTTCTTTCCTTGTCTTTTCATACTGCTTGCGTATCTTTCCTGCAGGTGCGGGCGGCGGCTCTGCTCTCTCCTTATTCCAATTGGGGTGTCGTGGCTACCACGCCGGCAGGTCACTGGGCCTGTTCTGGGAGCTGGTGGCGGCTCTGTTCTGCCCCTACTCCAATTGGGGTGACGTGTCTGTCGTACCAGCAGGCCACTGGGCCTGTCCTGCTGGTCGGTCGCAGATCTGCCCACCTTTCGGGCACGAGTGGAGTCTCTGCTTTGCCCCTACTCCAATTGGGGTGTCGTGACTACCCCGCCTGCAGGATGCTGGGTCTGTTCCTGGCAAGGGAGGCGACTCTGCTCTGTCACTACTCCAATTAGGGTGGTGTTTGTACCCCGCCGGCAGGCTCCTGGGCCTGATCCGCCGGTCTGTTGTAGGTCTGCCTACCTTGAAGGCGCGGGCGGCGGATCTGCCCTGCCCCTCCTACCACGCCTGCGGACCCCTGGGCCTGATCTGCAGGTTGATCACTGGTCTGCTCACCCTGCGGGCACGGGTGGCGGTTCCGCTCCACCCCCACTCCAATTGGGGTCACGTGACCACCACACCGGCAGGGCCTGATCCGGGCGTGGGATAAGGATCTGCTCTGCCCCTACTCGAGTTGGGGTGACGTGTGTACCACACTGGCAGGCCACTGGGCCTGACCCGCCAGGCTGTCACAGGTCTGTTTACCTTGCAAGCGCGAAGGGCGGCTCTGCCCTGCCCCTCCTACCACGCCCATGTACTGCTGGGTCGTGGGTCTGCCCACCTGGCGGGTGTGGGTGGCGGCTCCGCTCCGCCCCCTCTCCAATTGGGGTCACGCGGTCACCACGCTGGCGAGCCGCTGGGCCTGCTCCGGGGGCTGGCGGTGGCCCGGCTCCTTCCCTCTGGCTCGAGGACAAATTGAGGAGACTCGGGTGACTGAGCCTCACCCCCCTTACCAGGAGACCAACTGCTTATGTCACCGCTGGTATTGATGAAGATCTCTCCTCCACCGCTTTCTGCTGACATCAGATCTCTGCCATGTTGGTATCCTATGCGAATGGCAGCATTTCGTTCCCCTTGCCAGGCAACCCAAGCAATGGGTGAGTCCTGACCTGCCCTCAGCAGGACCCGGACCGAGACACAGTTTCCGCGGGCTCCTAGCCCCGGTCCAGGGAAGTTCCGGGAGCCGGAACTCGGCCGCTCCGTGCTCGGTGGAAGCTCCTATAAGTGTAGGCTCCAAGAAGCAGCCCCCGCGGGCTCAGTTCCGGGAGCCGGAATTCGGCCGCTTAGTGTTTGGTGTATGCTCTGATAGTAGCAGGGTCCAAGAAGCAGCCTCCGCGGGCTCCGCAGCCCTGAGCCAGGGCGGTTCCGGGACGGTTCCGGGAGCCGGAACTCGGCCGCTCTGTGCTCGGTGTAAGCTCCTATAAGTGTAAGCTCCAAGAAGCAGTCCCCGCGGGCTCAGTTCCGGGAGCTGGAATTCGGCTTCTTGGTGTTTCGTGTTTGCTCTGATATTAGCAGGGTCCAAGAAGCAGCCTCCGCAGGCTCCGCAGCCCGGAGCCAGGGCGGTTCCGGGACGGTTCCGGGAGCCGGAACTCGGCCGCCCCGCGCTCCGTGTTCACTCCGATAAGATCAGATTTTAAGAAGCCCCCAGGCGCTGAACCCTAGCAATCTGTCTGCAAGCCGCAGGCGAATTGCAGCCTGAAATTACCTGTTCTATGGCTGAATGAGCTGCGGTCAGTCAAAAACAGGTGTGGTGACGTCAGTTTACCAACATGGTGGCTGCTGGCCTCCTCTGTGGTCTGACCGGTGTGGAGAACCGAGATGGACCGCTTCCTTCCCCGTCTCGAACCCAGAATTCAGCCCTGAGTGCGGTGCTTGCGCGGCTGGCAGAAACTGCAGCGCTGTAACCCTGCGTCTCTATCCCAGCGCGCCTTGCAGACTCCAGCCGCGGGGCGATTTGCTGAATAAGCAGTTTTACCCTCCGTGCGACAAACCTCTCGTGTTTGAGTCCCCGTAGCCGATCCTCATGCGATGGAAATCCTTCCTCCAGGTTCCGGCGCACCCCACTATTGCTGGAAATTCCTAACAAGATATCCTTTAGCCGTCCTGACTTGTCATACTCCCACACAGTGAAGCAGCACACGGGGGTAATGCACTCCCCTCGCCGCCATCTTCCCTCTGCACCTTTGTTTTCTACCTGGTTTGGTTTTGCTCTCATTTTCTCAGCCCCTGCCTTCTGCTTCCTTCCGTTCATTCTGATGTGCGTCACTAATTTTTAAGCGGAATACTTAGCTTGTTAACTTACAGCTCTTTCTTCTTTATGAAAGTAGTTATGGATGCATTTCTTTAAAACACCACAAGTTTTGATATGTTATTTTTACATCAAATCAGTTCCAGATATGTTAGAGCTCATCAAAATTTCTTCTTGGAATCTTACATTATTTGGTGTTTTAAAAAATTATACAGATATTTTTAGACAACTTTCCATAAAAGATCCTAACTAGATGCCTTTTGGTGAAAATGCATGGTCTTTATTGTACCGAATTTTACGTTGTATTGAGGCTTGATCTGTGACCTGTACCTAATGAGGTTTTATAATGTTTCCTGTGTGCTTAAAAATATGCATATTTTTATTTCTTAAATTATAGATAAAAGTTCCCAGACCAGTGCATTCATTGTAATATTTAAATCCAGATCTTTTCTGATAGATTCCCTGATCTGCAAATATTCGGGAAACGTGTCTTAAAATTTTAGATGATGATAACATATTTGTCAATTCCTCCCTGCAGATCTACCATGTGTTTCTTATATCTATGTGCTTTTAATTAAAACTATTTATTTTAGAAGCCTCAATTCTCAGTGTATTGAACATCTGATCACACATGCTTTAAAGTTTATTTGGTTGGATCTTAACACAGCTACCCAAATTTGTGGTGGGTTAGATGGGGCCTTATGCTTTTCAAGCCTCATTTTCCCCAACATTTTAAATATTTATGCTTTAGCAGTGGTTTTTGTACATGGTGTGTAAGCAGCTGTTCAAGAGTGTCCTGTGACACCCTCTTGCGTTTACCCTGTCGGTGTTGATTGTGATCATTGATGTGGAGATTTCACATTTTATTTTTACTTGGCTCTACTTCTCTAATGTTTTGGTTTCCTTCTTTCTTACTTAAAAATCAATGCCTCTGTGTCACAGAGAACACTTTCTTATCTCTTGGTCACTCTTCCTTCTACTCTGTAAAATGTTGGTATTTTCTATAGATCTAAATTTTCATTCTGGGTCATTAAGAACATATTTGTGATTTTTCCATTCCCTTTTTGAAAATATGCAGCTACACGTTTCACCAAGCTATTTTGCACCTTCATATCCTGTACTTATCACAGGATATCCTGGGGTTGCTCTCTCTCCCTCTCTCTCTGTTTTTTTCTTTTTTTAATTTGTCTTCCCAGTGGGGCTTCAGTCTGGGTTTCCCTGTGCTGAAGCTTGGGGGCGGGGGGTTGTGAAAAATTGAAAACAATTTTTTTTTGCCCCGATTTTTACCCGGAGAGAAGAGGAATTCCAGGATCTGATGTCCCTCAGCCCTTGTCCCTTCAGCCCGACTTCCCCTTGAGCCATGAGATGTTTTCCCCAATTGGACCTGGGGTCTCTTGGGGAGTGGTCCCCTACCTCAGCTCCCAAGGGCACCTGAGGGGTCTGGTTGGGGCTGTTCACAGGTGCCTTCCGCAGGACACCTCTTTTCGGATGGACTGCTGGATGCCCCAGGACCCCCTGTGACCTGGCGGCCCTTGTTTATATGGGCAGGTGCCTTGTGGCTCCCATCTGGCCAGCATCCGGTTCATTCCCACCAAGACGGCCACTCTGGGGGGAGCGCTGGCCAGGAGAGCCCGGTTTGGGCGTGGGGTCAAGTCACAGTGCAGGCCGGTGGCCCAACACCTGCAGTGCAGCGGCATAGCGGTGCTGGGGACCCGGAGAGAAGAGGGCAGGTCCCGGGGGCAGCGGGAGGGGCGGCGCAGGACGCCTCCACCAGGCTCGGGCGGGACCTGCAGGCTGCCGCCCTCACGGGTCGCGGCTGTTGGAGAGGGGGGCTGCCCCTGGGCTCTAGAGCAAGCCGACGGGCTCCGGGGGGTCACGCAGTGACGACAGGCACCTGCTTGGGGGCGGGCACCAGGTCAAGTCAGGAAAGCTGCCCGGCTGCCCCGTCGGGAAGCGGTTACAAGGGGTCCAAGGAGGCCAACTCCGCATCGACCACCTTGAGGAAGGAGCAGGGCGAGACCCCGGAGCCGCCGAGGGCGACTGCGCCTGCTGCCGTAGGGGGAGCAGATGCCCCGGCGACGGGGGTTAAGAATTCGCAGGTGAGGATCCCCACCTGGCCCGCCTCCTGATCCCGCCTTTCTCCCTCCTCCCCTCCAGGGTCCCAGGCAGAAGTCCTGTCCCGACAGCTCTGGGGACCAAGCCTGCCCGGCTGGGGGCGCTGTCCCCCCAGGGAAGCAGGAGATGCACTACGCCACGCTCAGCTTCCGCGGGACCCCGTCGGCAATGCCTCGGGGGCGCGAGGCCACCAGCAGCACAGACTACTCAGAGATCAGGACGAGCAAGTGAGGACACCCCAGAGCCCGGCCTGGCGGGAGGAGAGGAGAAGTCAGGACTGACTGCGGACGCAGGAAGCCTCGCCACCCAAAACTGAAAGCGCGGCCCGGGTCGAGCAGAGAGGGCCACTGCGGGATGGAGAGACTTGGGCTCAAACCGGCCCCAGCGCCTTCTGGGGCATTATTATCAAGAGAGCCACCTCACCTCTGTCCTCATTTCCCATCCTGTAAGTCAGAGAAACCGAGACACGGAAGCCACAGCAGAGGTGCGCTGCAGGGCAGCTGCTTCCTCCTTCTCCTGGCAAGTTCCCCTGAGGCTGGGGGACCCGGGCAGGAACTGGCCAGCAACTTGTGGAAGTCCCTCCAGGAGAGGCCAGCTCCCCTGCCCAGCATCGGGTTCATGCTGTGACCACCACTGTGCTCTCCAGGTCATCTCTTCACCCCACCATGTCCACCAAGGGCTCCAGCATCTCTCTTCCTCCCCAGTCCCTTCCTCGGTCCCTTGGGGGGGGGGGTCCAGAGGGCCTGTGCACAGCCTAAGAGCTGAGAATGACTTTCTTCCTGGCCTCAGACAACCTGTCACAGGCCTCTCCTTCCTCTGGTGCTCCGGGCTCTTGATGGTCTCCCTGCAGCCCTCACCATTCCCTGGACCCTCCACGCTGGTTCACACCACCCCAGCTTTGCAGCTGCGACCCTCCTCCTGGAGGCCATGCCCCTGGCTTCCGTCTGGCTTATGCCTTCCCGCTGTCCATCCTGCTCTCCAGACGCTGGTCCTTGGTGGATGGTGGAGAGGGTGGACCGAAGACAGACCACATACATGCCCTTCTCGAAACCCAAACTCGTTGGGTTTTTTAAGTGCTAAGACAAAAGCAGTGACGGGTTTTCAAGCAGCACCCAAACGTAAATAAACAGCAATGTTGTCTCCTAAACGTTCAAGTGGCCATGAGGAAAGGAGTGGGCAAGTCCAGTGTGGCACAGAGTATTGGATAAATGCTTCAGTTAGAGACAGAGTCAGCTTGGGTTAATATCCCAGCCACCGGAGCTCCTTGGGTCATGATGGCGGTGCACATCAGACCCTTAACCCTGGGACAGCACAGCTCAGGGGCTCAGCACACTACCATGGATCCCTCATTTACCCTGATAACGGTGGGACTCGCTGGGAGCTGAACCCAGGGCCTTGTGCAGGCTGAGCAAACACTATTCTACTGAGCAGTATCCCCAGCCCTGCTTTGTACCACTGTCAAGTTGAAACATCATAAGTCAAGTCGTGCAAAGTCAGGGTCAGTCTGTTCAAGGTCTTCACCATACACACACCTAACGTAAAACACCAGAGAATGTCAAGGAGCAGAAGGAGACAAATTGTGCATTATGCCAACTCTGAGAAAAAGAAAACTTGTGTAGTCCTTTTTGGTGATACCAAATACACAGGGCCACACTGTTATGTTCTTACAGGATTCTAAAGCACCCACTCTTATTTCAGAATACGTACACAAGGATGGTGCTTATAGTCAAAGGCAGAAAATGAGACGCTCTCAAGTGTCAGTATAGAGGTCACTCATGAAGAGGACCTTCTTGTCCTGCTTCTGGGACTGAGAGATGACCGCACAATGTGAATCTTTGTAACAAAAACGTGAAAATATAGCAAGATAGGACAAGTCTGGTGTTCTGAGAGTCATCTTTTGTTGGAGATTTTGAATAAAAAATAAAAGTTCCTTAACAGAGATTATGGCCCAATGTCAAGGACAACTCATCCTGCCTATCCAGAGGCTTGATAGATTTGACAACACTAAAATTGGAACAGTTTTCTCAAAGGACTCTGGAGATAAAGTTAGGTCTGCAAAGTATAAAGCTTACCACACATTATTGGTTGTGGGGACACAGGGAGAGGTCCTGACAGTCAGCAAGACCCATCTGACTGAAGGCCAGGGGCCTGGCAGGGCCTGGCATATCCTGAAATGGTGAGGGGGTAAAGCCAGGGCTGAGTGAACGCTGAAAGGAAGTCGGTCCTGGTGGAAGTGGGTCCAGGTCCCCACAGCCCCTCCCCAAATCACAGTAGCCCCAGGGCTGCTCAGGGCAAGAGGAAGAGATGGAGGCTGCAGGCCGGGCTGGGTTCCCTCTGCAGTAGGGCCGAGTCCACCTGGCTGTCTTTGCGGCTCCAATGCCTGCACGGTGTGTAGCCAAGGCAGAGCTCAACGCTGATTTATGGGTGTTTCCAGTATCTCAGCCTCTCCCCAACACAGTCTATTCCATGAGGCAAATCCCTGCACTCTGGTTGCAGTGAGGAAACAGCCACAGGCCCACAGCTCACACCGCTGCCGGCCCAGAACAGGCAGCAGGTGCCCCTTACCAACTCCAGCCTCGGCCGGTTCTTCCTGCTTCAGCGCAGCTCATCCCCCGCCTCCTGCTTCCCCTCGCTTCCCCCTACCCTCTCTGCAGGCCACATTGAAATCCCGATTCTCCGAGGTGCTCTGGCTGGCTTGGTCGCTCCCCTAAGACCCACGGAAGTTCACCGGGGACCTTCCTCCTCTGGGAACCTTCCGGTGGATCACTCCTTGCCTGTAGTAAGCAGGTTGAGAATCCGCTGGAAGCAAAGCATCTTGAACTAGGAGGAAGGTGGTGCTGGGAACTGGTCCTTGGAGAAATGACCTCAAACCCCCTGGACTCCCCTCTGGTGGCAGCTCCTGGGCTATGGTCTGATGGTCCATCCCTCTTGAATGCAAACCCGCCCCAGAGCATGTCTGGTCTCTTTGGGGATCCAGTGTTTGATACAGGGTTCAGGAGCACGCTCTGTGGTACCAGGTGGGTGTCGGTTGCCATCCCAACCCCAGAATGTAGGCGATGATGTGAGACCCTGTATGGCCACTCCACGAGGAGTCTCAGTTTCCCACTCTGTCAGATGAGAGTTACCAACCGACCCCTCTCAGCTGGTGGCGAGGGCGAAATGAAGCAGTGTGGGGAGACAGCCGGGGCCTGGCACCCGGGGCCTGGCACCGGGGAGCGCCAGCTGACACCCAGCTCCCTCCTGGTCTCCTGAGCGAGGGGACAGCCAGCAACACTGAATATGTGGTCTTCGGAAGAATTCCTCCTCTCCCCTGTCTCTCCACCAGAGCGGAGGAATAAGCACAGGGCAAACAGAGGGTCTGAGGGAAAGCACCCAGAGGCGCCCACCCGCCCCGTTTCTTCCCGGATCCTGCTCACCTGGGCGTCCTGCGGGCCTGGGGCTCGCACCTTGTGCCTGGGGATTTGGGCGAATGGCAAGAGTGGGCGGTTTCCTGGATTCAGAGACCTGCGGTGCTCCAGGACCACGGACAGCGCCAAGCCCGCGGCCGGGGCGCCCAGCAGGCCCTGGCGGGTGGAGCGCCCCCTGCAGACAAGCTCGGGTCTGTCTCAGGGGCAGAAGGAAGCAAGTCGGGGAACCGGGTTGGTGACATTCTGTCCTGCAGGACAGAGGGGCTGTTAAGGGGTCCAAGCTTCTCCTCAGCCTCCCCTCTGAAAGCGCCCTAGGGAAGAGAGGACTTAGCTGCAGAGAGACAACACATTTCTCACAAGGCACTGGGTTCCTCACCCCTCAGGGCCGACTACCTGTCCATACAACACTGTGTCAGACTCCTTCCCCTCCTCCCCTCACTGTCCAGTGGGCTAGGATTCATCTCTTGATTTAACTCCCTTCCTTCTACTGTTATGGAGCTCTGGACAACACTATTTTTGAACAACAACAACAAAAGAACATTTTTGTGGCCCTATTCTGTGCCTGGCTCTATGTCAAGTCCTGCTTGATCTCACGTGAAAGAATGACGTATCAGGAGACTCATTAGAAATATGTATTTTAACTCCTGGGTTACAGAAATAATTTCTAATCTCTTCATTCGGTATGAACAGTAATTACTCAGATTGGAAAAACGATCCTGTGGCCTTAGGGGACCCCGGGATACAAAAATGTGTCATGAGGGGCAGAGAAGACCCAGAAAGGGCAAAATGGTGATATGGTAAGGAGAGGAGAATTGGTAGATACCATGAGGGGGCAGGCCTGTGGGGATGAAGGAACTATTTAGAAGTCGAAGCTCATTCTGAAGGTGTGAGTGCAGGGCCCGTGGGAGACGTGAGAACTGGCTGAAAGATGCCAGCAAGTCCAGCTGTTTTCTGGACTCAAACTGACACAGGAAGAGCACAGTGTCACACCCGCGTCTGCGGCTTGAGCCAGGGGCCCAGCTCTCAGTTACAGCCCTGACCATGGAGGAAACCATCTCAGAGGAGTTTGAATTCAGTCATCCTTTCTGGAAGCTTCTTGGGTGGCCAGACATGGGCTGATGGCCAGGGAGGTCTTGGCCCCAGACCCTCCTGCTCCTAGAGAGAAGCTTCAAGAATTCCAAGTGGGGAGCGGGAGGGAGGGAGGGAGCCAGGCCTCACATCTGAGGGGAGTGGAGATGGACACCTGGGAAGGCAACACCTGAACTGGCCATGGGGGGAGGAGCCATGGTCAGGCGGCCGCTGGACCTGGAGTGAGAGGAGCTCAGTTTCATTTCCTGGGTGGTCCTGGGGCTACCCTGGATTGGGGAGCCCAATCTAGAAGGTGTCTCCAGCTGCCTGCTCCTCCTATGTCTGTCCTGGGGCCCCAGACAGAAAGGGCTGGTCAGGTGACATCAGGGGTCCCAGACCTGCCCACTCCAAGTCTGGTTGCTGCTGCTTCCTGCTCTGTGAGCATGCAGAGGAGAGAGGGCTGCTGCTGGTGGACTGACCCCACGGAGGGTCTCTGGGCTCCGTGTTGGGGTTCAACGTGGAGAAACGCGCAGGTAGGGGCTGCAGTGTGAGAAGGTGCATCCAGCGCAGGACCAAGAGCCTTTGCCTCCTCAGGCTCTGACCTTCCTCACCACCCTGAAAGCTCTGTTTTTATTCTAGAATCATCTCTATCTTTTGAACTGTGGAAGAGGCCAGAACATACCACCGACTTCTTATACCCACAAACAGCTGCAGCAAGCCAACCAAACGCCCTGGGCCAATGCCACCGCCTTAGGGACCTCCAGACCAAGCTCCCCGGGCCACAGGGATGGCAGGGTGAGGGAGAGGAGGACATTTTTCATGAGACACTCTCCCAAATAGAAAACACCATCTTTGCATGTGCCAGAGAGGGACAGAGCCTCCTCCAGGGGCCTGGGCTGAGGAAGTCAGGAAGGCCTGAGGCTGAAAGGGAAGGGTCAGCGGGGGCTGTGCAGAGGCCACTCCTGTGCCACCCTTCTCTGTGCTCTAGGTCCCCCGGTGCTGACCCAGGTACCTGACATTCACGTCCTGGAGTCTGGGCACAAAGGGATCCTGCCTTCCCCATGCAAAAGTTTGTGGGGACAGGACACAACAACTCTCCCGGCAGTGGGCCACCCTGAGACACTGCACCCCAAACCACACTTCTTCTAATCCAAAGATCCTCTGCACAGGATCCCCAGGTGGACTCAGATCCGGTCACATTTGCTGGTCCCGTGAAGGGGCCGTCCTCACCCAGATGCTCCAGGGCCACACAGCAGAGTCCTCAGCACCAAAGGCCAGGGCAAGCCCCCCCCCCCCAAGACCTCCAGACCAGCACCGTCCTGCCCCCGATTACAAGATGCTCCAGATGTGAAACACAGGGACACCGGGGCTCTTTGAGGATGACAGGCATGTCCTAGAAGAGGGGAAGGTCATGGAGTGTGGGGACGTGGAGGAGGATGGGGGCAGGGGACTGCTGACTCCCCTGCTGGGCGACCTTCACAGCTGGTGATGCCACAGAGTGGACGTTGTGTGGTGCAGCTCTTGTGTCAGGTCAGCTGGCCATGAGACAACAGGCCTCCGGGGGTCCATTCATGGCTGGCATCCTAGAACCGCAGGGACAGAGGCACCAGAGCAGGAAGGTGCAGCAAACTCTCTAGTTCAGGTGACCAGATTCTGACCACAGCTTTCCAGGTCATTTCAAACCAAATGCCTTTGTGGAAAAGAAACAAACGACCAACCAAAAAGTAGAAAAGCTGGATAGAATGTTTCAAATATTTGGAGTCAATGGAGAGAAAAAGTTCACGGTTAAGATCTGAAAGAAGTGGGAACTCAAGAGAGAAAAGCCAAGTATCTGGACATGGTTTTTATCCTCAAAATCGTTGCTGAATCCAAGCAGATGTTGAAAAGCTGAGTAGACTACTCTCAGTTACAAGGAGCTACAGGGGTAAAAACTGTGGTTGAGGCTTGTCAAAGACGAGCATCAACACTGACGTGTTTCTATAAGTTTACAGAAACTTATAGAGTGGGGGACCTTATAGAGTGGGTTGGGCCAAAATAGGTGAGACCTGGTGAGGACTGAAATCAGACTTAGCTCTCAGGAGTCTGAGGCAGGAGGATTGCCAGTTCAAAGCCAGCCTCAGCAACTTATCCGGGTCCTAAGCAACTCAGCAAGACCCTGCCACAAAACAAAAGATAAAAAGGGCTGGGGATGTGGCTCAGTGGTTGAGCACCCCTGGGTTCAATCCCCTGCACTGAAAAACAAGAACAAACAAAATGGAAAAAAATGTGAAAACAAACAAAATTAAAACAAAACAGACTTGAAATTTCCTCCATCTCTGATCAGTCGAAGGTGATTCACCTGCTAGAAGCAAGAGTGGATATGCTCTGGAGAAAGATAATTTGACCCGGAGTCTAAAAT